TTAAACTAAAAAAACACTTAAATTGCTGAAATTTGAACCTAAAATCTCAAAGATCTAACTACTTAAGCTTCCAAAATGAGTCAAAATAACTCTATATAATAGAGTTATCAACTAGCTCTCTGTCCAAGCAATCAATGAAGTGAAGAATTACTTGAGAGGTAATTTTAAGCGTAAAGGCCAAAGGAAATTAATTCTTTTTAAGAAAAATTAAAAGTGTTATAATCCCATTAAGAGAGTAATTTTTCTAAGTTTATAAATAGGAAACAATTATTTTGCAAAAATTCATAATCAACTGGTAAGCATTTGGATTCCTCTCTAAAATCTCTTTGAATAAGTAAGTTTTCATTTTTTTTTCTTATGTTTTTTTTTTTAATTTGTCAACCAAACCAAAAGCTTAGATAGGACATTTTAGTGAATCCTTTAGGGGGGAGTGATTGCATTAAGTAAAAGTCATCAACAATTTGCACTATTAAAATATATGGAGAGTTTTCTTAATAACCAAGAAACACTAGTCCCAATTAGTGTCTAAGACCTCATGAAAATACCTTATGCTTCCCAAGAAAGGATGCAAATGTTGGAGGATAACAACAAGTAGGTGATGGAGACAATCTCCCAACTTGTCCTTTATTGCCATAACCTCTCAAGCTCAACCAGTGCAGCGTAATTGTGGCAAAAATGTAACTAAAGGAATCAATAATACCTACGAGAATAAAGGAAATGTAGAGAGCATGACTAGCATATTAACCAATCTTTCTATTGTTGGTAACACTACTATAGCAATGATGTCAACTACCATTGAAGGTTTTGCAACAAATGAAGAGCTCTAGAAACTACTTGACCATAAGAGTAAGAGCCAAAAATTTTTAGAGCTTAATCTTAAGTTACCTAATCTTGCCAACATAGGCGCTAAGTCGTATCCTACGTTCAACCAATTTAATTGGCAAGGCTATTGATGTTTGAGAGCATATCATGAAGTTTGTGAAGACCTTTGGACTAAAAGGATTGGATGATGACTTGAAGCTAAAAGAATTCTCCAAATCCCTTACTAAAAAGGCCTAAATCGGGATGTCAATCTCATTCCTAGTTCTATACATTCTTGGGATTAAAAAAAAAAAAATTTCTCTACCCAAGAGAAAGTTGCTCTTATTAACTTGGGAAGAGAGCATCAAAAGTTCAAGAAAGATCTCATGGAATACATCAAGCACTTTAGAAAAAGAATGTTGGATATATAAGATTCCTATGATGAGAAAAAGTTAGAGATATTTTGCATCTAGGATATGTTTGATGCGTATAAGGAAAAAAAATACCTTTTCCACCTTCACTACTTTAGTTAGAGTATAGAAGACCAACAATATGATTCTTAGATAAAAGGGAGCTAGTCTTTTTAAAAGGAGAAATACCTCAACAATAAACAAAACTTATTGAAGAGGTAAAGAAATGATAAATCCTTAGCCTCATCTACATCCTAGAAGAGGCAACCTAAGAAGAAGACATGAAGAGGAGATTGATTCTCCACCATTATTCTTAATCTCACTAAATAGAGGGAGAATGTTTCTCTATAAATAGATAAAGGATTGACAAAGGAACTTGCCTTATGTTTCACGACCACTAACGACAGAAGAAAAGTCCAACCCAAGGTATTGTGATTATCATTATACAGTGGATCATTCATTTATTGAATTTAAAGACCTACTTAAAATATTTTATTAGTGGGTTCAAGTAAGAGAAACATTGGTTAAAAACAACATGAGCCAAAAAAAGCTATTTCTCGCTCATGCGTGATATTTTTATGATCTATATTCTTAATTACTTCACGTACAAAAAATTTGATATATCCAAAGAAAAAGGAATTTATATTTTAACCACGAGTTTTATTGCTCATACTTTGCCTAAAACATTATTGTCCAAATTGTCACAAATTTTATCACTTATTTTTTGATCATAATTTATTATTTATATTTTAATTATAAATTTTATCACTCACTAGTTAATTACGGTGAAATTATGATATTAGTCATTAAGTTTTGTCACATTTTTGTCACATTTTTTAAACATAGCTGGCTGCAGCTTTTCAATTGTTCAAAATTTGTAAGGTCCTAACAACTTCTAAAGATAGGGAGTAGGACTTGCAAGTCATGATAAGCCAGCTTTGGTTTGCTTTCTGTCTTCCCGATGTTTGGGGCAGCTGTCCTTTCCCAATTTTTATGGCTTTGGTGCTCCTAGTTTTAAAGTATATTAAAGTATATTGTTTAAAAAGGTCAGCTACACTTGTGTTCAAATTTCAAAATGGCTTTTGAAAGTCCAACAGAAAACCAGCCCACTCATCTCATGTCAGGCCACGGCTCCCTGACCTGCGCATGAAAGAACCAAAGAAAATACCTTACACTCGACGAAACGCAATTCCAGAACAGAACAGACGACGCACTAATGGTAACGGTGAACACCACCCTCGACGCCTAACCGAGGCATCAACGCAACGTTAACGTAGATGGTGAACACCAAACGCTGCAAAACGGAAAACGAATTTGCTCTGTCACACTCACTTTAGATCAAAACTCCGAGCAAGTCTTTGCAAATGCAAACCGAAGTTCGAATTAGTCCATATTATTAACCGTTTTGAATCCCGATTTCATGTTTATAATCAAATTTGGATTCAATGAATTCAATTATATGTCTGAAAATCTCCTTCCATAGCAAATGATTATGTACAAAATGAATTCTCTTCCCTCTCCCAAAACTTTTCCAGAGTCTTCAAGCCTCAGATTCGCCGGGCTGAGACTCGGTCGCCTCGCCGCAGATACAACTAAACTGTCACGCGAGTTTGACTCAGAAACCAACCTGTAACTTTATATACAAAATCCAATCCCACATTAAAAACATCCTCAGCTTTCGGACATAACCGAAAGCCGACTCGGTCTCGGCTGGAACGCTGCTCTCCTCCTTTGTTGATGAGAAGAAGGGCGAATCAGAGCTGTCAACGCTCTCGTAACCCAGTCTCCTTCAACACCTCCGATCCTGACAAGCGAGTTGGTCATTGCCGATCTCCGCATGTTCAATCGATTCGAAGGATATGACGCCGTATAATTAGCATGAGCATTCTGACTGTTCTTATGCAAACTACAGCGAAAAGAGCCTGGATGCGTGGTTGGCGAGCACATACAAGTCCTCTTGGGGGGGAGGGAGAGGGGATTGCTATGTTTGGATACAGAGATGGAGCGGTTTGGAGAGATGGATCTTTTAATAGAAAAGCGAAATGGGTGAACTACAGGATTGGACGTGCAAAGATTGACGCGAGTGGGAGAGGCGGATCTCTGGTGGTGATGGTGGTCAAAGAATGTTAACGACGGTGAAGAGAAGCTCGAGCTCGTCGAAGAAGCAAAAGATGATGAGGAAGACGAAGACCTGGATAACGCCTTGTTTGTCTGCGAGCTATGGAATCTCCCTGACGGGGATAGCGAGCGTAAGACTGGCCCGCTCAACCTTGGTCTCGAAGATGAAGTAGCCATTCGATTAGATAGAACTGGAGAAGAAAGATTTCTAACTGCTCCGTTAGACTAATTGGTTGGGCAAACCTTGCGTGTCTCCTAGGCCGGATTTATAGATTGGAGAGAGGATGGCACATGGCAGGGGTAGTAATTATTGGAGAGTCGAGGGGCTTAACAATGGTTGACCCGGTGTTGGATTGACTAGAATAGAGGGTAGACAACTGGACGTAGCTTTACAGTCTAGTGGCTGCTTTGAGAAGGTTTAGACTTTGACACTGACCGTTAGCTTGCGGTTTGAACAGCTTTGGTTGGCTTGGCTGGTTCTTCGCTGCCTCTCTGGTTTCGTCTTACGTTCGGATATTAGCTACGCCGTCGTGGTCGCTTATATCAGTATTAGTTCTGCTATTAATCGGTAAGGAGAAAGTGTTTATTTTATTTTATTTTTTTCCAATTAGAATCCGATTCTTGAAGAGAATATTTCCAAAGTAAAATTTTAAAATGACAGAATATTAAGTTGAAGCGAAATTCCAAGATTCACTTAAAAGTGTTATTAAAAAAAGTAATCAAAAAATGTAATAAGAAGGGAATAAATAATCTATAATACAATCAACCATCAACTAAATACCGATTTAAATAAATAATTATTAGTATTATCAAAGAATAATATTTTAAAAAAATTTAATTTTTTGAACAAATTTAATTTTTTATTATTATATTATGTTACATTAAATTTTTATATTTTTATTTTATATCAAGTAAATTTTTTTAATTAATTATTTTTAATTAAAATATTATTTATTATTTTATACGTGATTTACTTATATGATATAATAAATAGTTTTATAACATGATAATATTGTTATATGGTATTTTTTACTTTCATTTTAATGTTATGTAAATATAAAATAATAAGTAAGATATTAATTAATAATATTTTTTTAATTATTATTTATAAAAATTAATTTTATTTAAGTTAAAAATATAAAAATTTAATTAATATGATAAATTTTAAAAAATTGAAATTTTTTAAAATATTATGTTACAGTTAAATATGTAAATTAAGGAAATCAAGGAGGTTGTAGGGAATTGAAGGAGATTAATATTTTAATACTAAAGTTGGCTTGCAAAGGTTGAAGACCTTACTTCCAGATCAGTGTCCTTCGGGCAGGGGGCGGGCGTGTACGGACCTTGGTGTTATAAATATTTAGGTGATAGTGTTAATACCAAGCTTTCATCCCACACTTGGATTTTCAACAAGGCTGTTCTTTTTGACTATTTCAAAAGCTATGGTCATAGTGGACTTTATAGACTAGCGTTCTTTTCTTGGGGCGATTAGACCAGCATATTCAACTGTCAAACTTTTAACCAATTTGACTCGGTTTTCAACTTTTAGAGGTTAAAACATATTACAGTTATTTTAGTTTAAACACAAGCTAGCAATCATACCCTAGTGTTGCTGCAAGCAATTTTATTTTTGTTGGGATAAATATGAAAATTTTTCTCAAATTTTATTTAAAATATATCTATTTATAAGCAAATGGATGCTTATGAACGTTTTAATTAAAGAGTGTATATATAATAAAAATTTTATAAATTAATATTTAATAAATTAATAATTTTTATTAAATAATATTTTTGATCAATCTCAATTTGAAATCAACGTAATAAATGTTGTAAAATATAACTTTGAAAGAGAATATTAGAAAGAAATAGTAAGAATGTAAAAAAATTTTTTGTTTCATTTCTTGTTTCAGTGTATCTACCATCAATTATAATACCTTTATTTATAGGCACATATAGATAGAGGGGAAACAAATTTACACAAATAGAGGGAATGAACTTAATAGATAAGAATGTATATATATTGAATGAAACTAGAAGATAGGGATGTACGAACATAAATATGAACATTGGATATGGGAGATACATTTGGATGTTATGAAATACAATGGATATTTATATATATTCATAACACTCCCCCTTCGATATTTATCGTGCTACCTCATTAAAACCTTAAGCTGAAAAAATCTAATGGGACAAAAACTTGTCAAAAGGAAAAAAAGAGTACAGTGCATAGTCCATAATTGCTCACTCTCAATTAATCCATATTGCCACTTTTGGACTACCTAATTAAAAACTTTAAGCTAAAAAAACCTAGTGGGACAAAAACCGGTCAGAAGAAAAAAAAAAGGTATAGTGCATAGTCCATAATTATTTTATTTTAATTGAGCTATATTGCTACTTCTAGGGTCTACTATCTCTAGAGCATTTGATACTTTGCCACTCTAAAGGTAAATTAATCTGCATCTTGTTAACTTGTTGCATTCCAATGCCATATGCTAATTTCTCAAATTTTGACGTTGGCAATGATTTGGTAAAAAGATCTACAAGAATTATGAATATGCATTATAACGGATCTCAACCAAACACATTCTCTTCCAACTTCATATAATGCGATAATCTCATAATTGTTGGAGGATGTAGCTATTAGCATTTGCTTAGTACAGCGCCAAGAAATGGCAGTGGCATTATAGCAAAATAGAGCGAGCCTTGTGTAGATCATATTTATATTCCGCATCAGCGCATCCAACTAAGCCGGAGTTAGTGAAATCCTTCAAATAATATAATCCCAAATCTATGGCTCTTTCGAGATAACGAAGGATATGTTTTATTCCATTCTAATGTCTCTAGGTTGGTTTAGAACTAAAACGTGCTAATAAATTTACCGTAAAAGTGATATTCGATCTTGTATATTGTGCTAAGTAAATCAAAGCGCTAATTACATTGAGATATGGTACCTAGGACCAAGTATCTCTTCATCAGGTTTTTAAAATGAAACGGGTTCTTTTGGAGATCGAAATACCTTACAACCATAAGGGTGCTTAATGGATGAGCCTTGTCCATGTTAAAATGTCTAAGCAATCTCTCAATGTATGATGACTGATAGACAAGTATTCCATTTGCTTTGTGCTTAAGTTTTAGATTAAGATAAAGTTTGGTTTTACCCAAATCTTAAACTTCAAACTCTCTTTTCAAATATTTAGTAGTTTTAGATAACTTTTCTAGAGTTTCAATCAAATTTATATAATTGACATAAACTGATATCATAGCAAATCCAATTTTGATTTTTAATTAACTCGTATGGGTAAATAAAATCATTTATGTACCCTTCTTTAATTAAGTACTCGCTTCAGCATTGAAACCACATCCGATCGGATTACTTTAACTCGTACAAAGATCTTTGCAACTTTATTAATAACAAGTTGTGGGGAGTGTATGCTTCAGGCATTTTGAATCCCTCAAAAATTTTCATATAAAAATCAAAGTTCAATGAACTATATAGATATGTCGTCATATCATCCATAAGTTGCATTTCTAGTTTTTTAGAAACTGCTAGGCTAATAAAAAAATGAAAGGCAATCATATCCATCATAGGTGAATATGTCTCATCATAATCAATCCTAGGTCTCTAAAAGAAGCCTTGGGCAATGAATCAGGCTTTATACCTCATGACCTCATTTTTTTAATTTCATTTTCAAACAAAGGCCCACTTGTATCGAACGTGATTTATATTGTTGGGGGTTTGAGCAACAGGCTCGAAAACTTCTTGTTTAGCTAGGTAAGTCAATTTAGCCTAGATTGCTTCCTCCCACTTGAGCCAATCTTACCTTTGATGACATTCGATAATAGATTACGGTTCATAATCATTAGTTATAATCTCATGAGTAATTGAAAGTGCAAAAGCATCATTGATGATTATCTCATTCTGATCCAAAATCACATTATAATATGTAATGAAAATCTAGTTTTTTTAGGGTTGGTTATTTTTTCATGAATTTGTGCCTCTTTAGAAGTAGCAGGCTTTTCTGGAGCAAGCTTAAGACCAAGCTCTTTTAGTGTGGATTCTTCATTCTTCCCCTTTCATTTTTTAGGGCTAATGTATTTTGATCTTATCGATCTTCCATACTTCACGTGTGAGCCATTTTGATCCATTTCAACCTGTTCTTTAGGAACAATAATCCTAGCTGGAATATGAGACATGGTAACATTTGTAACACCATTAAATGTGTCAAAAAGTCTATTGGCAATAGTCTATAAATGGATTATACGCTGTATCTTATTTTCACATTCAAGAGTTCGTAAGTTTAAATGGGATAGATTTTTCTCATTCCACGAGAAAATCTCAATTAGTTTTTGCCTCTCAGCCATGGAAGCCTTAGGTATCCCAATCGATGGAAACATTGCTTCATTGAAATGACAATCTACGAATCTAATGGTAAAAAGATCACCCCATTGTTGGTTCCAAGAACTTAATAATGGATGGTGAATCAAACCTAATGTAAACGCCCAAACAATGTTGGGGACCTATTTTAGTCCATTTTTTTGGTGCTATAAGCACTTGCATAGTGCAACCAAAGGTGCGTAAATGTGAAATGTCTGGTTCATAGTCTAAAACCAACTACATAAGAGACTGCAAGAGACTAGTAGTGGGGCGCAATCTAATTAATGCCGTCGCTTACAAGACAGCATGATCCCACGTTGAATAGTTGAGCTTTATCCTCAATAATAGAGTACGAGTGATAATTTAGATGCATTTAATTAAGGATTCTACCAATCCATTAAGAATATATAAACATGTAGAACCAAGCTCTTAACCTCGATTCCTAGTGAAGCACAATACGCATCAAAGCTCTTTCATTTAAATTTACCAGCATTATCCATCCTCATGCTCTTGATTGGATAATTAGGAAAATGTTCTTGAAACTTTATAATCTATGTAAGTACATGTGCAAAGGCAATGTTGTATGTAGATAACAAGCAAACATGGGATCATTTACATAGTGTGTCCACTAATAACATGAAATATTGGAATGGCCTACTTTTTGATTGTATTGGTCTATAAAAATCACCTTGGATTTTTTGCAAGAATGAAGGGGATTCAAGATTCACCTTTGTTAGAGAAGGTTTAGTAATGAGCTTTCCTTGTGAATAAGTTTCACAAGTATAATCTTTGGACAACAAAACTTTTTTATCCTTTAAAAAGTATCTTTTAGTATTTTAGATTATCGTACATATCATCGTAGCTCCTGAATCACCTAGGTGATCACGCCAA